AAGGTATAGGTCATAGGTCTGATTTACGTTGCAGAGCACAAGCAATTTGTGTGATAACATTTCACCAAAGTTATATAACGTACATCGACCAATATTCTGATGGAGAACATCCTGTTCAATTCTTCTTTAGAAACACCAACAAACTGGTTTCACTACATTGGGAGTTTCAGCATAATAATTAGCCATATAAAATTTCTTATCATTACTGAACCAATAGCATTAGGGTCCTAAATCACAATTTGGTACCTCAAATCTCAATAAATTMCCCAATTTATCAGTTTCTCAGAAAATAATGGAACAACTACTAGAAAGATTAAGCTCGATAAGTCGGGTTTGATTTACAAATGAACTTAGCAAGTAAAAACGTCCTAACAAAATCTGAACAACTTACTAGGATGTTGAGCTTTCCATTGAAGATAGATGAGACTTTTTGTAGAAGCTGCTCGCGTTGAGGACGAGAGGTTGCGTCACAGACGGATCCGGTGATGGTAAGGCCTTTGGCAGACCATTCCAGTAAGCGTTGGTTAAGCTCAGCCTCATTGCGAGAGCAAGTATGAACCGCCGCCCCCATCTCCGCCAATTCCTCCACCACAGCATAGCCGATCCCACGTGTACCACCGGTGACGAGAGCAGTCATTCCAGCTAGAGACCATCTGGAATTTCTAGTTGCAGAACCGGTCTCCGCCGCCGCCGTCGTCGTCATTTTCTGGGGCTCTTTTTGCTACTCTGCCACGAGCGCCAAGCAAGTGTTTGTTCCATTGTTAAACTAACAATATATAACCACAATCTCACAAAAAATCAGTGTAGCTTTGAGATTGTTTGTGAAAACAATTTATTTACTTATTTCGATGTTACATCCATAATAAATGATGTTTGAATAAATAATTTATACCGTTAATTATCATCTTATCCCCTTTTTCCCGTTAATTATCAAACATAAAAAACTTTTATAAAAGTCAGTTATATTAAAAATGATTTTGAAAGACGAGTTTTTATTTGATAGAATTGATGAAAATATGGTATGACGAATATAAAAAGTCAATGTATAACTTATACATTTCGAATACGCGAAACAAGAAGATATTTATTTTATTGTTGTCCGCTTTTTTATACCCATCTTTCTCATTTTTTTTTTCATTTTTCTATTAATTAACGGGTTAAATACATGAAATAGCAATCTACTTTCATAAAAAAAACTATTATAGTATTCTACTTTTGTTTTTATTTATTACAACAATGTACTTTCAAATTATTTTTTATTAAAACATCGCATTTTAAAAAATCTACCCATTATAGCAATAGGTAACCCGTTTAACCCTTTGATTTTTTTTTCTTGTGTGGCTTTAGTGAGTTAATGTGGATGATACATTATTTTGATCACTTAACAAAATAAAAATAAAAATTTATTTCAAATTATTATTAGTGATTTTTATTTTTCATTGCTATGATTTAAAAAAAACATTTAATTTTTTTGACTTTTTCTTATTAAGTTGAATGCAAATTAAATATTCTAGAGTAAAATATTTCTTAAATAAATATGATACATTATTTTCAAGATATATTTTGTTTGTAAAAAAGTAACACTTCTTATTTTATGTTCAAAAAAATACATATATTTTAAAGTTCTTTTTAAAATGTTAACGAAATAAATTATGATCTACAATTTTTTAATATTGTTATATTAATAAATAATTCAAAAAAATCTAATTAATTTAATATATTTATACGTCAAGTAAAAGTTTTTGAACAAATATAATATATTCTTTAAAAGATAATATTTTTTTTATAAAAAAGAAACAATTCTTATTTTCTTTTTTCAAAAAAACACATTTTTAAAAAACATTAGCGAAATAAGTTGTGTTGTACTAGTTTTATTAATACTCGTATATTAATGAATAATTTAGAATTTTTTAATTCGTTTAATATATTTATTAAATAACATGTAAAATATCTAATCTCTTTTCTTTTTCACAAATAAGAAGTTTCGTATTCAATTCGGATATTAGAGGGATTACCATATATAACACAAATCCTCCACTAGTTGATACTTCAAGGGGGTTTTACCTGGACTACTAAATCACCCCCCCCCCCCTTCAAGTTAAACTGGTGCCTGCTGTATTTTGCATTTTTTTTTCATATTGAAAAAGTATGAAGAACGGGAGGATTTACGTTTTGTAGAGATATAAGGTGCCATTTTAGGAACCATTGATATCGACACATCTGACAAATGTTCGAAAGTGATTGTCTGATAATGAGCAAGGAATATCCGTATGTGGAAAAAAATGTGAATGAAAGATCTCACTTAATTGAATTGGGTCCAGGAATCAGGATCCTAAATTGACGGGTTAGTGTGAGCTTATCCATGCGGGGCAGAGAACCCGTCGCTGTCTCGGCTGTGCTACTGGAGGCTCTGGGGAAGTCGGAATAGGTCTTTTTTTTATATAGATATAGAAAAAAAAATTAAAAGTAGAGTGTTTAATAAGAACTAGTAGATGCTATAATAAAATAATTTTGAAAGTACAATGCTGTAATAAGAAAGTCACATCACTATAGTACATGGGGGCAATTTATGTGGACAATAAGATGACATAGAAACCTAGTATAATGAGTAAATTTAAACCAAAAGCTTACCCAATACTATAATAAATAATTTTTTCAAAATATAATGTCCTAATAATAAAAAAATTTATAAAAATAAATTGTTATTTTATACATTTTACCTATTAATTAATTAATATGTGTGATAAAACTCTCTGTTTTTGTACCCACCACCATTTTTTTTTTATCTTCCATCTCCATGTCATGTGGGATAACCATTCTAACACCACAATTTAGGATTTGAAGATACACACATCCCATTCTGCCAACTCTCTTTTTATAAATAAATAAATCAATTAATCTTTTATAAGATAAATTGTTTGCAAATAATGAATTGACCAAAATGTAATACATTGAACCAACTACAACTAATGTTGCATCCCTTTTCCTTATATAATAATCACCTCCATCTTGTTTGATGATTTACCTAAAACAAAGTCCTCGAGCATTATACAAGATGGCATGTTGCACTCGTTAGAAACCGTTGACTGTAAATCCTCCATCAACAGCAATCGTTTGGCCAGTAATGTATGACGCGGCAGGTAGGCAAAGAAAGGCCACCAGAGATGAAACTTCATTTGCTTCTCCAAGGCGTTTCAGAGGAGTTCTAGATGCCACATTATCTAGAAACTCCTTGTTATCGAGAACCTTCATCAAGCAAACATTTCTCACTGAATTAGAATAAAAAAATTTTGACGTTACCGAAAAAGGGGAAAGAAGAAGGTATATACTTCTTCAATAAGAGAGGTTTTAGTAAACCAGGGTGCTACACAGTTAGCCCGAATGTTGTCTTTTGCCCATTCACATGCTAAATTCTTTGTAAGTTGATTCATTGCACCTGCGGATGTAGAACAGACGTTACAACCCCTTTTTACTTGGTGCTAAACGAGATTATGCAACCATACCTTTGGTGGCACCGTAGATCGACCCAACAAAAACATGAGTAAGACCTGCAACGGAGGAAATGAACACAATGCTTCCTACTCTAGAAGCCTTTAAAAGAGGATGTGCGAGTTGAGACATATGGTAACAAGATTCCAAATTGGTAGCCATGAGAAACGAATAATCATCTGCAGTATACTCGGTAGTTGGTTTACGAATGTTCGTCCCAACATTGTTTATCTACACAAAAGAAGTCTTTGGAATTAAGTTTTTGAAAATAGACAGAAGTTCATAAAATCATTGTAAGAATCTACATATTGTTTACTTGATGCAAAACTAGTGGTGTAGTCAGAGACAGATCCATGATTTTTTGGCAGCGGTATCACAAAATAATTACTCTAATAAATAAAACTTAAAAACAAATTATAAAATGACTACACGGACTCCGTTTTTGGCTATTTTTGGGTCGATTAGATATAAGTTAAATATTTAAGTCCTTAAAAATCGATACACTAGCTTTTTTTCTTCAAAAAACTCTCTCTTAACTATTCAGCACCCTAATTTCATTGTAAACAATTACCAAACAATTATATTTCAGTTTACATTATATCATAAGAGCTTCTTAATCATTCTGATCACTTAATCATTCCACACCAAATCATTCAACAACTGTCAAACATCCCCTAAACACCCTAAAGTCGTCAAATATACACAAAATTACCTTAAAGAGTTGATGTTAGCTTTATTGCATAAGTATAAACAATTTAGCTCAAACCAAAGACTTTAATAATAAATTTGTATTCATGTTAAATGTTATTAAAAAAGTTCCATTTTATTAGAAAAATTCAAAAAGGATCAACAACAAACATCGAGAAAAATGTGTAATTAATATAGATTAAATATTGCATTAATCATACAACGCATATAACTAATGTTAAAGTCATGTTACTTTCTTATTCGTGTTAACAGATATAAATAATTTTAAAGATATTCAACATTGGGTTCGTTTCTAAGGTATTGACAGAACCCTTCCTAATGATGAAATTTGTAAAAAGAATACGTATTTTTAATATATTTTAGCTAATAATTAACTAATTAATATGATCAGGGTATAAAATAAGAAAATGAAAAAGAAATTAAAACCAGTAAAATCTTTCAAAGGTTAAAAGTGTAACTTATTTAGGGTTTAGTTGGGCGAGAGTTAGGTTTATTTCTTAATTTCTCATTTAAATCCCCTAAAGGTTTTAACATTTATAGTTTGAACCTAAAAAATCTTAATGATTCACATTTTTTTTATTAATCTGGATATCCAACCTGCTATGCGAGCCGACTAATCCCAGTACGACCACCTGCTTTGCAGATAGCCCGGAGTCACCGCATTTGACCCTCCGTGGCCACAAGAGAATTTTTATTCCTCCTTGGATTTGAACCTGTGACCTCAAAGTACTTTTGACCTTTAGAAGCAAGTTCAAACCAATCAAGCACCACCCTTGTGGTTAACGATTCACATTTATATACCTTTAAAAAGTTACAGTTTAGACCTACATTTTTATACACCGCAAAAGGTAGGTCCACCCCTGAAACCACAATATTAGAGCTACGCGAAAGAAAAGCGTGCATGGATCGTAGGTAGGTACTCCGTCTATTCGTGTTCCCTGATACGCATAGCAATCATGGATCGTAGGTAGGTACTCCGTCTATTCGTGTTCCCTGATACGCATAGCAATGGGAGCACAGAAGCATCCAAGTAAATAATGTGGATTTGGGACATAAAAGTGGTTTCAAAATTGTGAGCAACTAAAATTTAGTGTCATAATGTACACCAAAGTTGTATGATGCAGGGGCGGACCTGCTTGGTTGGCATGGGTGGCACGTGCCACCGTATTATTTAGCCACCGAAGGGTAAAAGATTTAGGTTTATTAACGGTGCTATCGTATCGTTTTGAAAGGTGCTACCGTATTTTTTCTGAATTTCAAATAGTGCAACTAAATCTAAAACCCAAACAAGATAAAGTCCAAATAAATTAGATAAGTAAGCCCAACAAATTGATTAATCTAATAACACTAGTTGTGTACCCGCGCAATGCGGCGGGARYYATGWATTTTWACGRTTTTGAAGTTCCACTGGTTTTATAAGATAAGATTTAACGATGATATAGGTTACACTTGGTCTTTACATATTAATACAATTTGAATAAATAAGAGTTATGATTCCAATTACAGACTATGAATGAAAAAAATTGTATGACAGTTTAAAATCCAATATATTTAAAATCCAACATATTTAAACGACTCCACAAATGTATTCGATTTACACCAAGAGCAAAGAACCAAGAAACTTGAGTTTTAAGATAAACACTCAAAACCAATAAAGAAAACTACAAATTTGACAGATCATAAGCCATGAAAAGACAAAAAAAGATGGGTTTTAGAATGAAATTTGGGTATATATTGACCGTTTTCAAAAGATGAAGACGCGTCGGGTACAAGTTTAGGAGTTGTTTATCGGTACTATAAAAACCATATTTTTTGTAATTAATTTTTAGATATATACTGGTATGATGTGTATCTTATTGCTAATCTACAATGGGATAGTACAAGTTTCGTTGAAGCAGCCATTATTGAATTCATAAAAGTCACAGTGCTGAATAGAGATGAGAGTTTGACCTGCTGGGTCGGGACACGGATTCCCCGATTTCACAAATAAAGGGGTGTGACGGGGATTTATTTTCATATCTAAAGCGGGATCGAGACGGCATTACCCGTCCCTAATCCGACCTTGATTACTTTTTATTTTATTTTATTTTTGGCTCAACATGAGGAATGGGAATGATAATGATAGAGAATGAATTTTCATTCCCACAATTTAACCAGGAATGAGTTTTTGTGCTTCTAGAAGAATGAACCCGTTATATTATAGAAAAACAAACAATTTTTTTTATATTCATTCACCTCTAACCAAACACCATCTTAATATATGTATATATTGTTAGTTTAAAAAATATAATGGGTTGAGTTTCAGTAAGTAGAGAAGGAGAAGATATCTCCACTCTTGGATCAATCCTAGTTAAATATCAACAATAATAAGGTGCATCAGATTAATTCCTGCACAATTCATGAGTGAGCATGAATTTAAAAGTGATAAGGGTTCAGATTTCTTCTCATGTTTCTCTTTAGATCATTGACCATAAATATATACATACGTATATTTATACATATATTATTAAATGGAAATGGAAATCGAACAGGATCTAGAACATATGAAAATGAAATACAACTTACTAGGATGTTGAGCTTTCCGTTGAAAATTGACGAGACTCTTTCCATTAGCCGTTCACGTTCGGGACGATAAGCTAAGTCACAGATGGATCCGGTGACATTAAAACCCTTGTCGGACCATTCTTGTAACCGCTGGTTAAGTTCAGCCTCATTGCGAGAGCAGGTGTGCACCGCTGCCCCTAACTCCGCGAGTTCCTCCACCACAGCGTAACCGATTCCACGTGTACCACCGGTCACCAGAGCAGTCATTCCCGATGCAGACCATCTAAAATTTCCGCCAAACCTCCCCGGGGCGGCGGTTGCCATGCTATGAATGTGTTTCTTTCCAGATGACTGGTGCGTAGATCTATTGTGTATATAAATAGTTATAAAATCTCCTTTTTATTCTAAGAATAACTTACGTTTTTAATCCTTGGATTTGTTAGAAATTGCTATTTTTGTATTTATGGTTTTCGATTTAAGTCACTGTTAACTAACGGACTTTTTATTTTTTTAAATTTTTTATTAAATAATATATTATATATGTAATAAAATTTTGTAAAGGATACTTGGATGTTTAAACCGAACCGAAATATTACGGTTTGATTTACGGTTACTCGTATTTATAAAAATATTATTTATAATATAAAAACAGTATTAGAATATAACATTTAAACCAATTATATAACAAATAAACAAAAGCAAATCTAAATGTTATAAATTAAAATAAGTTTAATTATAAAAAACATCCATTTTCGGTTATTGTCAACTCTTTAACGACTTTATACCACCAATCATCCATAGTAATGTTTGACATCAAACTGTAAAAGACTTTTTTTCTATTATGTTTGGGTTAGTAACTGATATATATATATATATATATATATATATATATATATATATATATATATATATATATACACACTAGTTTTGATCCTGTGTATTACACGGGGTAATATTAAAAAATAAAATCATGTCAGGAAACTTATCTTACATATATGAATGATCATGGAAAGTACAATGTTACTTCAGACATATACTCTTAAAATAACTCTGAAAATGACTATTCAGACTTGAAGTTAGAAATGAAACTATATCAATAATTAATTAAAATAAAGTTAACCCTAGAATAAAATTCAATTTAGAAATGAAACTATATCAATAAATTGAATTTAAACTTAGAAGTAAATTTAGAATGACTATTCCGACTTGTACTCTTGAAATAACTATGAAATATAACTTTGAAGAATGACTTCATTACTCTTGAAATAACTATGAAATATAACTCTGAAAAATGATTTCAGACTCTTCAGACTTGTACTCTTGTAATAACTCTGAAGTAAAACTCTTTAGACTTCAGAGCTATGTATAGGCAAGTCAGAAGCTTTACATGCACTATGCAAAGGCTCTGCATGGTGCTACGTTTGAAAAAGAAGACTTCAGGATTCGGGTGAGCTAACTATGAAGAATGACTCTTCAGACTTGTACTTTGGAAATAACGCTGAAGTAAAACTCTAAAGAATGACTCTTTAGACTTGTACTCTTGAAATAACTCTGAAATATAAAATCAATCCCACTAAATCAGAGTTTAGACTTATAAGTCTGGAAAAAAAAAGACTTCAGAGTTCGGGTGAGCTAAGTCTGAAAAAGAAGACTTCAGAATTCAGGTGAGCTAACTCTGAAAAATGACTCTTCAGACTTGTAGAAGACTTCAGAGTTCAGACTTCTAAGTCTGAAAAAGAAGACTTCAAACTTCTTTTTCTAAGTCTATAAAAAGACTTCAGAGTTCAGATTTCTAAGTTTGAAAGAGAAGACTTCAGAGTTCAGATTCCCGAGTTCGGGTGAGCTAAGTCTGAATAAAGCAGACTTCAGAGTTCGGGTGAGCTAACTGTTTGGAATGACTCTGCAGACTTGTACTCTTGAAATAACTCTAAAATATAACTCCGAAAAATAACTCTAAAGAATAACTCTGAAGTAAAACTCTCAAGAATAACTTTAAAGAATAACTCTGAAGAATAACTCTGAAGTATAACTCTGAAGTATAACTCTAAAGAATAACTCTGAAGAATAACTCTGAAGTATAACTCTAAAGAATAACTCTGAAATATAATTCTGAAGTATAACTCTGAAGTATAACTCTGAAGTATATCTCTGATGAATAACTAAAAGTATAATTCTGAATAATAACTCTGAAGTATACCTCTGAAGAATAACCAAAAGTATAACTCTGAAGAATAAATCCAATGGTTAAGAATTGGTTTTACGGGTCTCACGAAAAACCTTTGGTCTCACATGATCTCAAGTGTGTGTGTGTGTATATATATATATATATATATATATATATATATATATATATATCAGAGGTACCAATAATTCAAAACAGAAACTAACCCATGAATACCTAATGTTTTGGTTTTCGATTTTTTTTTTCTTTTCATCTTTTTCGATTTTCAATTTCGAATCAAACATCATGGCTCGATTTTTCGATGTTTTTGACCATCCCTACCTCCAGGGCTGTCTCATAAGGAGTGCAGAATGGACGCCTACTCATGGTTCGAAATATTAGGGGCTTAACTTTTTTTAGGATAGTAGTATTCCTAAAAAAATTAGTACATAAAAACCAACAAATTTCAGTATAATAAGAGCAAAAAAAAAATAGTTGATAACAATATATATATATCAACTAATTGCATTGGAGAAGAAAGAAAAAGTTAAATGACAACTCGTTATATGTGTAACATCGGAAATTGGGGATCTCAAAGTAATAAAAGTAAAGTGAAGGGAGGTTATATGTATTTTCTAGAAATTTAGATGATGTTAACGAAATGAGTCTCAACTCCAGGGGATTAGTTTGTAAATTTGGAAAGGAAGTGGAGTAATACGTGGCCTCTTCTTAATTAATTGGAACAAAACGTGTCTTCAATCGGCTGCAAATTTCTGTCCTCCCTATTTCCATTAAAACCGTAAAATTATTTTAAATAACTTATGTTTTTTTATAAAAATATTTATCAATTTATTATAAGTCGGGAGAGTTTAACATTTTAAAAACACTTTATTATCGGTTTGTCAACGGTATAAGTTGTTTATCCAAACACTAAAAAGTGTTTATTACCGATGTCACACCGGAATAAGTCAATAAGTTATTTTGTAAACAGTCCCAATCATATATCATATGTGCTTAGTCCTGTTCATCATTAATCCAATCATTCATTAAATATTGGATTTTACCAATCGATTCAATCGATTAAAATTGGATTTTTGATCTGATTTAATCAAATGAATGATTTGATTAGTTTAGTTCTATCTATAAGATATTTTTATTGAATATCTAATGGATGATTCGGTAGGATTAGATCCATTCAGTGTGTTAATTCAATCTAATTCTCAAACAATGATATAAATTAATTAATTAATCAATTTTAATATGTGTTAAAACCAACATAAGGAAAGTTAAAAATTCTAAACCTCACACAAAACAAATTTCGATTTAAGCAAATTTGAAAACAAATTAATTGAATGATATTTAGATAATGGTGGGATGGATAACTTGGTAGTCAGTGGATGGTTAATTGGATGTTTGTCGGTTCGGTTAAGTTTTAGTCGGTTCTCAGATGGCATTGAATCAAATTGGATGTTGAAATTTTCAATCCAATTACAATATATTAGAGATTCAATCTTGGTCAGTCGATTGTAATTGGATCAGTCGGTTCCAATTTGATCGAGTACACCCCTGAGGATATTCATAAATAATCATGAATTTAAGGTTGAGGAGACAATTTTAAATTCCAAATGAGTAATTGTGGTTTGAGCGTATTAATTTCTATTTCTTATATTTTGTCGATAACTAATCTACTTTTAACATAATGTTTATTTGTATTTTTGTATGTATAATAAAGATGACTAACATTTCTTTCTTCGGTGAATTATTAGTATATCTTGTATTTAATTTTTTTAATAGTAAAAATATTTATTGAATATTTTTTTACTTATATGTTGGTCTCAACTATTAAATTTGTAAATAATACAACTAGAATCTGATTCAACACTTAGAATGAATTTCTTATTACTTGTTTTATAATGCTCATATATATACACACACACACAACATTAATCGGATATGACATAAATGGATTAACATCCGAACCTAAGAAGTTTAATAACTTCGAAAGCTTCGCATTTTAGTCACTATCAGATCTATAACTTAAATGAAATGTGAGGATTTGATCTCACATTTCATTTAAGTTATAGATCTGATGTTAGATTTGATTATCCTCCATCCGAATGGAAGAATCTGATTGACCTATCTTCATGGTCACTCAATCTTGATTTACAAGAACACATATTTTATTCTAAGTTATTCAATCCGATGTTTCAACTTCATAATTATTCACACTAAGTCAAGTATAACCATAGTATTGGGTTGATGCCCTAGACGGCTTGATTTGTTGTTTACAACCCTCATGATTAAACCAAAGCTAATAATATATAAAAACTCGATGCCCCTTGGGGTTTTAATGTCATATACGATTGCACGAGTTGTACGTGGCTAGGGCCGAGTCGGGACTGATTGAAGGTTATTTTTTATATTACATTTTGAAGTGCCCGTTATTAAACCAAACTGACGTGGAAACGCCATTGCCCAAAATCTTTCTCCAGCCCCAACCAACATCACTGCAGATTGGAGCATCACAAAAATTACGATATTTAAGCATGTAAGGATCCATTTAACCCAGAGAGAGTCCATATTAGTAAGGATTTTCCATGAGTGGGAGGCCATAAAGGCAATAGGCTTAGCTACCATTGACAATATCAAAACTAGGAAGTTTAAACTAAAACAGTAACAAAAAGAAAAACGAAAACGGTCAAATCACGTGTAAAAAAACATGTGATTTTACATTAACAGTTAATACAAAGGTACGCAAACGAGTGGCTCGTGACCTCATGTTGCGGTCAAAGTCGCGTAAACCACATGTGATTTTACACTTGATTTTAGTGTAAAATCACATGTGATTCAACTGTTCTCTTATTTAGTTATTGTTCTCGGTTGAATTTGACACACATTCTCTCTATACATACATACATACATACATTATACATACCATGGTACTCCATGCCGTAAAAAATGAATGTTCTCCCTTGTTCTACACGGATCAGGGACTAGCTAACATATGAAACACGCCACCTAGGGAGCAGGTAACACCCTACTCGTATTACCACGGTCTTCCGAGTATATGTAATACATAAGGACGACCTCACACCAGACACCTTGCTTTAACTTCCCCGAACCTAACCTTAACTCAGGTGGAGCGCTTTGTGCGTCCGACCTAGTTGAAGAAAGAGTAGTAGAGGTACCACCTGAAGATAAAGAAAAGACTAATCTTAGGTAGGTCGTCTGGGGGTTCGTCACATTTCATTGTTGTGTGCATATATATTAAGGGTGGTTCATTTTGATTTTAATTATATGACAAATTGACAATTAATGTTTAACTTTTGAAATTCATCTTCGAATGATGTATATGGTTTGGTTATTTTTCTTCCAACATAATTTCATAAAGTTGGATGATAAATTCTTGGAGCTGTGTTGAAATACATTCTCTATCATTATCTGGAATGATATTTTTATGTAAACTATGATTATAAAAAAGGAAGTGTTATCAACAAGAGTAAGCTCCAACAGGGGAATTAACAACAGTAAAAATATATTAAACAAGAATACATATGAATTATAAAAGAGACCGTCATTTTATTATAGTGATGTTTCTCGATGACCAATTAAACTAACTTGCATTAATTCAAAAATGCACTCCAAATCACACTTCCAGATTGAAAACTATTCAATTGCCTAAAATGAAGTCTTGAAACTTAACATCAAGTAAGACGACATGTTGCAATCATGAGAAACCGTTGACCGTAAATCCTCCATCAACAGCAATCGTTTGACCAGTAATGTAAGAAGCAGCAGGTAGGCAAAGAAACGCCACCAGAGATGAAACTTCATTTGCTTCTCCTATGCGTTTCATAGGAGTTCTAGATTCCACATCACCCATATACTTCTTTGTATCATCCATAACCTGCAGAAGCTGAACATTTCCCATAGATCGAGATCGAATTAAAACAAGGGAAGTTGACATTATGATCGTTAGCGAAAAAGGGGAAAGATGAAGGGGCATATAATTACTTGTTCAACAAGAGGGGTTTTAGTAAACCATGGTGCCACAGAATTACTCCGAATGTTGTCTTTAGCCCATTCACATGCTAAATTTTTTGTAAGTTGATTTATTGCCCCTGTAATAAATATGGATACATGCAAAAGACACAATCAATTAAAACCCTTTTTTTCTCGACCCATTCTACCAGATCATCAAAAACCATACCTTTGGCGGCACCATAAAGAGTCCCAACATTAACGTGAACTAATCCTGCAACAGAAGAAATGAACACAATGCTTCCAACTCCAGAAGCCTTTAAAAGAGGATGCGCAAGTTGAGACATATGGTAACAAGATTCCAAATTGGTTGCCATGAGAATGGTATAGTCCTCGGCAGTATACTCTATGGTAGGTTTTGTATAGGTCGTCCCTACATTGTTTATCTACACGAAAGATCCAACGTTAGGGATGTAAGCGTTCTGAATTGCACGTGGAAGTCTGTAAAATCATTAATTGAAATACTCACAAATATAACAACTTACGAGGATGTTGAGCTTGCCATCAAAAAGCGACGACACTTTTTCCATAAGTTGTTCCCGTTGGAGACGAGAAGACATGTCACAGATGGATCCAGTGACTGTGAAGCCTTTGGCAGACCATTCTTGCAAGCGTTGGTTAAGTTCAACCTCATTGCGTGAGCAGGTGTGCACCATAGCCCCTAACTCTGCCAGTTCCTCCACCACAGCGAACCCAATTCCACGTGTACCACCTGTGACGACAGCAGTCATTCCGGCTAGAGACCATCTCGACTTTCCAGTCAGACTCAATCCAGCAAAGCTTAGCGGTGCGTTAGTCGTGGTCATGCTCGACGTTTGGTAATGTGTTGTTTTTCTTTAGATATCACTCAAATGCCTGCTCTTCCATATATATATATATATATATATATATATATATATATATATATATATATTAATAAAATATAAGAGGCACATACATCCTATTTTCTCACACCCAATTAGTCACCCAATTAGTGTTATCGATTGGCAACACTAGTGGAAGATGGCCATCACGTTTTATGATTGAATGATAGCATATATTATATGAATATATGATTTGTGGTGCAGGATGAATTTGTATTTTTCATTGTAAACGTTTTTTTTCCATCATTCCATTTTGTTGTGACGTATTTTTTTTAAATATAATATAAGAAAAACTATTTTTGGAATATTATATTGTGAAACATTTTTAGGGGCTGTTTACATAAATGTTTGCTCAATAAGTGTTTATCGTTAGAAACCAATATTATAATTTATTTTTTTTGGATAATATTGTAGTATATCAAAATGGTAACACATGCAACAATATATATGATAAGCGCTTACCCGGGTAAGAGTCGCCACTCTCACTTAAGGGATAAGACTCTGTTTTCTTATCATCGCTCTCGCTCTTACTAAGTAAGATTCATGGGCCTTGTCATGTTCATCCGGTGAAGAAAATTGCTCGGTAAGCACCTACCGAGTAAGCGTTTAGTAAACGGCCCCTTACATTTGTAACTATTTTCATTCTCTTTATAAAACTTATCACTTGATTAAATCAACAACTTATATTCTTTTTTTATTAATATGGATATCCAACCCACTATGTGAGCCGGCTAATCCCAAGACGACCACCTGTTTTGCAGATAGCTCGTAGTCACCGATTTAAACCTCCATGGCCACAAGGGGATTTTTATTTCTTCTTAGATTTGAACATGAGACCTCTTAGTATTTTTGACCTTTGGAGTCAAACTCAAACCAATCACGCATCACCCTTGTGGTTTATATTCTTATTTTTATGTCATAATTAAAGGTCTAGGTTCTAGCATTAAATTTCCATAGTTTTTTTAATTTTATTTTTTTATAAAATTTACCAAGACAAAAATATAACAACCAATTATTTTATATTGCTATCTTTTCGTGTAAATAATATAGGTTCTAGGAGGGTATCTATCAATACTTGTCGACTTGTATGTATGTGTATGCACATGATAATAAGTCTACAAAATAACATCGAAAACATACACCAATAATTCAAGTATATAATATAATATTATATTTTAACCAACGTCAAAAATTAGACACAAATATTTTATAAACAAATTCATAAAAGGTAAGATATATATGCATAAAGGACAATCTAATATGCAATCCATCTTCAATTTATCGACTATGAGTCGATTATGGTTGCTGGATTCATTCAGCACAATTCTAACACACCCATTAATAAGTACCAATATATTAATAACAAAAATTATCACGTAATAAACAATAGGAGAAAAATCTAAAAAAACCCAATGGATTTTAGTGTTTGAAATGATTAAGTTATTGGATAATTTTTTAGAACAAATAAATCATTGAACATTTCAAAACCTGTTAAACAACTCTCTGGACTTTCTAAAACATGTTATATTCATTATTATGACCTATAAAACTAATTAACGTGGTAAAATAATGAGAAAAACATGGAAAAAAAACCCAATGAACATTCATATTCTGAACGATAAAGTCCCTAAACATTTTTTGAACAAAAAAAATACTTACATTATATAAAATAAAACAATTATATCAAAAAAGTATTTACATTTAAAAGAGATGATAAAATTTATTTTAATTAAAAATAAAAGATATTATGTCAATGATTTTTTAAATTAAAAA